ACAGTCACCACCTCCCCAAGTGCCACACACCTCTTCCCTGCAGTCACACACCCAGGCACCTCCCATTGCCCACTCCTCTAGGACAGTCACCACCTTCCCAAGTGCCACATCTCCTCCCCTCAGTCACACACCCAGTCACCCCCCATTGCCCACACTTCTAGGACAGTCACCACCTCCCCAAGTGCCACACACCTCCTCCAAGCACTCACATATCCAGTCACCTCCCATTGCCCCCTCCTCTAGGACAGTCACACTTGCACAAGATGGCACAACTCCTTCATGCCGTCACACACCCAGGACCTCCCACTGCCCACTCCTCTAGGACAGTCACTACCTCACCAAGATGGCAAGTCTCTTTGAAGTCCAACAATTCCCCTCTTTCAGTTTCAGTGTAGAAGAGCAGATCCATGATCCCTCTTGCCCTCAACTCACATCTCAATGGATATTTATGGTTGAGTATTCTTCTCGTGACAATTTTCTTTCTCATACCAAATACCTGTATTCTGTTCTGTGTCGTAGCATGTGATTTTTTACTCGTTTGTCTCCATCTCTCTATGAACTCTTACCCAGTCCCTATGCAGGAATGGCTCAAGAGTTTGGTGGATGAACGCATGTCCAAATATATGTCCTCTCTTGCTGGACTCTTAGGTCATATCTAGTTTAGTGTCATGCTCTGCAATGCCCCATTGTAGAGCATCTGGAGAAAGCTGAAAGCTCATGGCACTGCCATGTTCTCAATGAAAGTATACCTGGTCTCTGGCTTGGCAGATTCATGCATTGAGCCAGGGGAGGTTGGATGGCTGGGAGGCATGGGGAGGGTGGCCCACCAGCAGAGGTAACTTATGCCAGGTTAGGGCTGTGAGTACTCATTCTTGAATCAATCTGAGGAGATGAAGAGAGGACAGTGGATATGGAGTTTCTTTATTCTGAACAACTAGCAATGCCCCTTCTTATGGTTCAGATGTGGAAGGTGTATATGGGGTCACATGTTCAGAGCTTGGTCTCCTTGTAGTAATGTTGATATGTGCTGGGACTTTAAGGGTTGCAGCCTAGTGGGAAGTCCTTAAGTGATTGGGGTGCTGCCCTCAGAAGGGATTAAAGTAGTTCTTATGAGATCCTAATGAGTTCCTGAAAAATCAAGTTTTTATAAAAGTACAAGCCTGACTTCTGAATCTCTCTGGCTTTCTGTCTTGCCATATGACCTCTCCCTCTTACACATACTCCTAATACAATATCATCTGCCATGAGGCCCTCACAAGAGACCAAATAGAAGGGACTGCTCCATTTTGGGCCTTAAGCCTCCAAACCCATAAGATAAATGAACTTTTTTTCTTTATAATGTTTCCAGTTTCTGGTATTTTGTTATAACAACATGTATTCACACATATAATAATACATATAGTCCTATAATAAAATACCTGAGTCAAGTTATAAAGAAAAAAGTTTTAATTTGGCATGCAGTTCTAGAGGTTCCCAATCTGAGACAGGCAATCCCAGTTTCTGACCCGTGGTGAGGTAGCACATCATGACACAAGCACAAGGAGGAGTAAAACCATTCACCTCATCACAGGCCAGGAAGCAAAAGAGACAGGAAGGGGCTGGGGTCCCTCAATCCCTTTCAAGGGCATATCCCTAATGACCTAAGGACCTTCCACCAGGCCCAACCTCCAAGGAGTTCTACCACCTTTCAATAGTGCCACCCTGGGGACCAAGCCTTCATTCAACACAGGGGTCCTTAGGGGATATCCAAAATCCCACCATGGCGCTGACCAGTTTTGAAATCCACGTTTCTATCGAGTATACAGTATAACTCAGCAGTTAAACTTGTAGTGTCCAGACTGAGTAGAGTAGCTAGAAACTGCTTTATGTCTGGGCACAAGGGCTATCTAGTTGGGTCACTTACCTGCATGCCAGAAGGACCAGCTCCTCTCTGTGGAGGAAGAAGCCCCTGTGCTCCTGAGCACAGAGGCCTCTTGTGGCAGCTCAATCTTCTTGTTGAACTGTACTTCTAAAAGGGGAATGACCTCTGGCATCTTGGCAGATATCACTCGATAGGCCACATCTGGTCTGCCAATAAACCGCTGGCGAATGCTGATTTCATAAGGCGAGTGCACCTTAATGTCATCTAGGTCTTCCCTCTCAAACCTGTGTAGGAGCAAAGAGCTGGAGTCATGGATTTCCAACCCAGAAACCAGGATGGTGAGCCTTCCTGGCTTAACATGGAACTCTGTTCTTTGGGAAATAATAGCAGGGATTTTGGCCACGACTCCCTCCTTTCCAAATGGCTCAGAACCAGCCATAGAGGTGCTTTCCCTGGGCTTTACTTCTACTGGTGTCTTCCAAAGCTTGGAGCTGAAAGGCCACCATGAAGGCGATTCCAGTTCTGTCAGCAATCTAAAAGTGAAAAGAAAACACAGAAAACTGAGTCAACCTGCTTTAAAAGAGTAATGATTTTTGTTTGTTAAAAGACTGCTTTAACCTTAGTAAAGCACATTACCATTAATGTTTCTCACAAGCACTTATGAAGCAGAAAGAGCAGAGCTGTTAGCTCCATGGTTCACGAGGGGGATGAAGGTTCAGGGCAAATAAGGATACTTGCCTAGAGATACCCAGCTAATCTGTAGTAAGGACATGGCAAATATGCACATCAGATTATGATATTTCTCTTTCCATAATATTCTGCCTTGACCTGAGGAATTTTGACTCAAAATCAATCCTGATCTCAATTTCTGAGAGCTAAGATAACTTTCAGCAGTGTGGATACTCTGCACTGTTCAATACAGTAGGAGTCATACATGGCAGATTGTCAACCTGAAGAAAGAAACAAGTTCCAGCTATACAGTGATGCATGTTTAGAGACACATGGTTAAAAACACATGGTAAAAATATGAAAACACAGGTACAGTGAAAACAAAGGATTAGAAATAGGTATATCATGCTCAAAGTATGAATGTTAGTTACTAAGGGTGAAAAAGGCACTGCATGATAATAAGAGAATCTATCCAACAGAAACATTTAATATTAAATGTGTATGCATTTAGCAGAACTTTAAAATTAATTAAACAAAAAATTTTTAAAAACCTGACAAGATCAAAAGGAGAAACAATCACTGTTGTAGATGTTTTTTTAAATTGGTAAAGTGTCTCTGGGTTTAATCCCCTGTACCAAATAATAATAATAATAATAATAATAATTCATTAACTTAATTAAAAAATAAAATGTTTGGAAGGACATAAAAAGGATGAGAAGAGAGATGAGGAAGAGATGAAAGATGTCAACTTTAGTGAGACCCTATCTCAAAATAAAAAATAAAAAATAGAAAGAGCTGGGGATGTAGCTCAGTGGTATAGCACCCTTGGATTCAATCCCTAGTACCACACACACACACACACACACACACACACAAAGTACACAAAGAAATGAAACTAGAAAATCAATAATTAAATGATAACCTCAAAATCCTCAAATATTTGGAAATTAAACACGTGCTGAAGTAATACAGGGATCCAAAAAAGAAAAAAGGAAATTAGACCATATTAAAAGTCAATCAAAACGAAATTAGAACAAAATTAGAACAAACACAAACTGGTAGGAAGCTAATACAGCAGCTGTTAGATAGAAACGACAGCTCTCAAATCTTCCTGGAAAGGCTGAAGTCAGTGATCTAAGCTTCTATTTCAAAAAGTTTCAAAGCAAAGAATAAACTAAATTCAAGTGAGTAGAAAAAAGAAATGCAGAGATCAGTGAAATTGAAAACAGAAAAAAATGAAACACTGACAAAACCAAAATTCAGTTCTTTTAATTTAAAAAATTAATAAATCACTAACAAGAAATGATCAAAGAAAAAAAAGAGAAAATGCAAATTACCAATATTGGGAATGAAAAGGGGAGAAAGATTACCATAGATCTTGAAAGGCTTGTAGATATTATTCCCAACATCAATAAATTGACAACTTATATGAAATGGAAACACTTGAAAAATCAAACATTCTGAAACTAAGGCAAGAAAAAAGTTAAGAATGTATGAATTATACTTGTAATTCCAGCAACTCAGGAGGCTGAGGCAGGAGGGTTGCAAGTTCAAGGCCAGCCTGGAAAACTTAGCAAGACCCTGTCTCAAAATAAAAAGTACGAGGGTATATGGCTTAGTGGTAGAGTACTCCTGGATTCCATCCACAATACTGCCACACAAAAAGGAATATGAATTGCTTTACAAAGAAATTGAATCTGTAATTAAGATCTTGTCATAGCAAAAAATATGAGCTAGGTGGTTTAAATAAATAATTCATTAATTTAATTTAATTTAAAAAAAAAGGTTTGGAAGGACATACAAAGGAAGAGAAATGAGGAAGAGAAGAGAGATTCACGGGAGGAGAGACATCTCCCAAGAAGTGTCTGAGGAGTTCCCAAAGGGAGAACTTGACTCAGGACCAGAGGGGTTTTTGGCACAATACGGAAAAGAGTTTCAGAATGTGTCAGTCCAAGGTGTAAATGGAGGTGTCTTTAGGAAAGCAGATGCTCTTCAAGGAAGAACAGCCTCAGTCTCAAAAGAGAGATGTCTTTGGGTAAAGCAAGGAACATGCACCCGAGGAAGAGGGCAGGCTCTGCAGAGGGAGAGACACCAACCTATTGGTGCAGGTGTTCATATTTATAGGGGCTGGTGCTTGGGGCTGGACAAGAGGCGGAGGCAGGTGGAGCTGTACAAGTCCATGCCAGTGCATTTCCCTCGTTTTACAAGGGTATGGGCCAGTGCATGTCCCTTGATGTTTCCCACTGTGCTTTCTGTGTCTCAATGGCTCATGGGTGTTTCCTTCAAGACTCAGTATCTCTCTATACACCCTAAATCCCTGTCTCAGTTTCACTGGTGAATTCTGTCAAACATTAAGAAAGAAATAATACCAATTGTATAAAGAACAGTGTAAGAGTAAGTGCCCTGTCCTTCATTTCATAAGGCCACATAACTTGTGCGCCAAGCCAATAAGGACCTTGCAAGAAGATAACACAGAATGCATAGAGGTTGGAGATCTCCACAGAGGCAGAAGAGACTTCTACTTGGATCTTTCAGGCTCTTGACACATCCTGAAAAGAATTTAAGGAGAAGTCAGATTCTAGCAGAGGAAAAACTTTGTTAAAAAAATGAAAGGGCTTGAAGATGCACATTGCTAGAGTAGAATTCGAGCCATCTCAAGAGTGAGGGGTGCCTTTTTTTAGAGGAACATTTGTGAGAAGGAGGCCTTTCTACCTACCTTTTATTTCTTCTCCATTTTACCTCATCACCAATAGGTCTTATAAATACAGAAGCAAAATTCCTTATGAAAATATCAGCAACTCACATCTGACAATGTTAGGGGAGAAACAGATAAGGATAGTAGGAACTCGAGGCTGAGAATGATTCTATAATTGGGCTCACTATGCTGACCCCTACATGCTTTCTTTGCCTGCAACCCTGCCTGGCCTAAGTGGACAGGATATGTCATGTTCCTCAGCAAACTGGGGCAGGGGCAAAGGTCAGGCATTCAGTGAAGATAATGAAGGATGGGGGTCTAGAGAGAAAGGATAATGCTTGGTTATCAAAGAAAGAACAACATGTTGCTAACAGTTAACCTTCACACCTCTGCTCTCAGTCCCCTATACAGAGAAGAAAGAGAAGACAATCATTAAAAAGCAGAGTCTATAAGAAAGCAAGTTGCACCCCCCCCAGGGGATTCCAGCTCTGCAGCCCCACTTCCCTTCAGAAGAGTCTGTCTATATCACTTTCTTATATAAAACTCGCTCTCTACGCTTGCCTCCTTGTCTCTCCAGAGTGTGATCTTCAACACCGGGGAGCAAGAACATCTGCAGTGAACTGTATCAATGAAATAGAGGGTATAATAAAACTTAAGAACGCGGTATTCATCTCAGGAAGATGATGTTGGAAATTAATCTATGTAATTCATCTTACCAGTAGAGAAACAGGATAACTCTATGATCACCATAACAGATGGAAAAAAAAAACCTCAAGAAATTCATCACTCAACCATGTTAAAACTTCCAGAAAGTTAGAAAGAGAAGGAAACTATTCAGTTGGATCAAATATAACTAACAACATGCCTGATGTTAACAAAGGATCAGAAACAGTAAAAACCGGGCAGATTTCTAAACGTATCCAAGCTTTGAAAGCATTCCCCAAGTGTGATATAGTGAAATATATTTGGTCTTCCTCCCCTAATCAGACATCCAGCACCTAAGGTCCTTGAAATCTCTGAAGTGATGTGTCTTGCCCGCTGCTGAGTCCGCTGCTGACTGGCAGCCCAGGCAGCTTCAGGATGGGACTGGTCCCTGAAAGACCAAGGCAGGGTCAACCTCCAGGGAAGAGAGAGGGGCTGCGGGCTAAGTGGATCACCAGTGGCCAGTGATTTAATCTGTCACGCCCATGGAAAGAAACCTCCATAAACCCCCAAAAGCACAGGGTTCTGAGAGCCTGGTGGCTGGACCTGTGGAGGTTCCTGGAGTGTGCAGGTGAGATGGGGCAAAGGCCAGGTAGCTAATTATCAAAGAAAAGGAAATGGGTAGACAGCACTCCCCATCACCTGGCTGCTAACAACCTCTGGGGGAGGGGAAGGAATCACAAGCGATCACCCCCTAAAGGGCTCTCTTCCTGCCCTTCTGGTCATTTTTGGCCACATAGGCAAGGTGGGTGAAGAAGACACGAGAAGAAATGAAACCTGAAATCTACAAAAGGTGCAAAACACTCCCACTCTCTTGGGCAGCAGTTCTGGACTCCCTCCTTTCTGGAGGAGTCTCTCTCTCTCGCTCTCGCTCTCTCCCTCCCTCCCCTCTTTCTGTTTTATTTCTTAAATAAAATTTACTTTCTGCTCTTGCCTCGGCTTTCCTCCGGGGGTTTATTCAATACCGGGGGAACAAGGACCCAGTCCTGAATTTCAAGACGGGTTTCAGAGGACATGAAGCCTCTTCTCCTACCTCACTGATGCGTCTCTTCATCTGCATCCTTTGTAATATCATGATAAACCAGTAACTGTAAGGAAGTATTTCCCTCTGCTTTGTGAACCACTTGAGCAAATTAATCCAATCCAGGGAGGGTTGCAGGAATCCCGGTTTATAGCCAGTTGGTGAAAGCACAGTTAGGAGAGCATGGCTGGCATCTGAGGTAGGGGCTACCTTGGGGACTGAGCTCTCAATCTGTGGGATCAACCTCCAGACAGACTCAGAACTGAATTGAGTTAGAATACACTCAGCTGGTGTTCACTAAAGAACTCCCTGCTTGCTGGGTGGGGGCGGGGAGGGAGGGGACAGGCCACACATCTGGTTTCAGAAGCAGTCTATACTGTAAGAGTATAAGAGAAACTGAGTCTGTTTTTCTCCCCTTCAGGTATTGGATTTCACAGATAAAGACT